ATCCAGAAGCTTCCTCCAAGCCTTGGGGCCACACTCTGGATCACCCAAGAGGTCCTTGATATGGTCAAGTTGTCGCCCGCCAACCGCTTGCACCATTAGCATGTATGCGTCAAACGATCGCTTCATCCACGCTCCTTTCAGCTCCGCGGCCTCCGGCATTTTCTCCTTCCCCTCCACCAGATCCAATAGCTTGTATTGGGTGTACATCAGCCTCATGCGGAAGCTCCAGTGCTCGTAGTCCTCCCCCATGAATTTCTCAATAGAGAAAGCTTTCACAGGATCCACGGTAGTAGGAGATGGTGTAGAAGAAGTAGGTAGCGTAGGGTTGGCTGGTTGGTGAGTCCCCACTCCTCCACCAGCAACTCCCCCCTGCTCTCCAGTCTCTCTACTTCTATCCATCTCGCCACTAGCACCTCCGGAGTTCGTACCAACCATATTGAGGCCTTATGAACGGTGGAAACTTGAGAAATCGTTTGGAGAGAATTCTGCCAGAAATTTCGACTTTACGAAAATCGCCATCCCGGACTCGATACTTCGAATTAGAACGCGGTTTGACCACCAATCGAAAGTTCGCAAGCAGAGCTACTAGAAAATGGTCTCACTCGACAACACTGGTTGAGAATTCACGACGATTCGTCGTCTCAAAGTCGACTACCCGCTCTGATACCAATTGTTGTTCAGGATCCGTCACTTTGAGAGCTTACGACGAGCTCATTACTCAACTAAACGCAAATCCGCTCGGTAGGAAGTTGCGCCTTAGGCTTAGCTACCATCTCTAAGTTGAATCAGTCGTTAAGATGGTCTATAGAGTGAGAACCAAGTAAAAACGTCCAGCAGCTGCATGACTAGAATAGTGGAGGAAGTACAAACATGTAGGCATAGAAAGTTGGAGTTGGGGACTCCAAGAGAACCATGAGAGGGAAGGGGTTCTCCAAGATCTAGGGAAGGATGGTAGGAACCTTCCTAGCAGCAAGGATGCAACCCTCATCATGAGTTCCTTGAGGTGTCACATGCAAAATCCAATCTAGTTGGATTTTGCCTAGGTGTTGCAACATTTGCAACCCATGCTAGAAACTTCTAGCCACCCCAATCCAAAAGTCAAAGTTGCCTTCCCTAACCACCCAACCAAAGATCCCTTTATAGTCATGTCCCAAGTAATCACCCAAATTAGATATAACCCCAAAAAGTAATAAGAAATCCAAGTCTTGGAAATCTTGTAACTTGGGCGATCTTGGTCGGAATAAGGTGATCTTGGTATCGTTGGAAAGCTCTGGATTTCTCCTGCATGATCAAGCATTTAAACTTGGAGAAAAACACAGAGATGAAAATATCCAACAGCCATGCACAATGACATATGCTCATGCAAACAATGCACGCATGGATAGCACGAGCACTCGGCAGGACGTTAGGATGACATGCACTCAGAATGACGTGCATCCAACAAAGGGGCCGCCGGACACGGTAAGACAGTGGAGAAGTGGGCAAGGACGGGACCCCCAGAGGGGTCTGCCAGGGAGACTGCAACCGGCCGACTAAGCGGCGTGAGTGTGGTGCGGTCTCGAAAGAAGGAGCGGGAAGCACCCGAGTCAAGGGTGAAGGTGTGTAACACCTGAGACGACGTGGTACCTGAGAGAGCAGACTCACCAGCACCTGGGGCAGCAGACTCACCAGCACCTGGGGCAGCAGACTCACCAGCACCTGGGGCAGCAGGCTCACCAGCACCTGGAGGAGCAAACTCACCAGCACCTGGAGGAGCAGACGCACTAGCACCTAGAGCAGCAGCCTCACCAGCACCTAGAGCAGCAGCCTCAATGCCCGGGTCAGGCGGAACACACAGGTAACAGTCACCCACATCACTAGTAGGCAATGCATACATGGCAGTGAGGATAGCATCATAGTCAAGAGCATAGATATCTACCCTCTGCCTAAGCAGCTCCACCCAGTCGGGGAGCTCCGCGGCGTCGCCAAACTCCGTACGCCAGACGTCGCTCAGACGGGCGAAGCAGCGGGACTCGGCGTGACCAAGCGTCCCGCAGGGCTGACCAGTCCGAGCACCAGTGCGAATGACGTACGGACAGCGAGCAGTACCCCGTGACCCTCCACGCTGAGCGTACCACTCACGAAGCTTCTGGGGCGAAAGGACCGCGCGCTGACTACGCTGCAGCTGCACCTGGCCACTACAAGCAGCTCCCGAACTCCCCACGCCAGAACGACTCCCACTACGGCCATCCCGACAACCCCAAGTAGCGTACCACTCACGAAGCTGCTGGGGCGTGAGGGACTCACGCGGACGTCGCTGGAGCTGCATCTGGCTACCGCCAGGAGCAGGAGGAGCAGTGGTAGCCGCAGTAGCAGCAGTAGAAGCAGTAACAGTAGTCGCAGCGCGGCCACCCCTACAACCCCAACTAGCGTACCACTCACGAAGCTGTTGGGGGGCGAGGGACTCACGCGGACGGCGCTGGAGCTGCATTTGGCCACCCCAGGAGCAGCAGTAGCAGTAGAAAGAGCAGTAGCAGCAAGAGCAGCAGTAACAGCAGTACGGGCAGGGCAGTGCTCACCAGTGGCGAGAAGGGCAGGCGTACGACGGCGGCAACGGCGAGGCCGCTACCACTGCAGGGCGAGGGCTCCGCGGCTGCTGCAGGGGCGGCTGCTGCAGGGGCGGCTGCTCCAGGGGCGGCTGTTGCAGTGGCGGCCGCTCCAGGGGCGGCTGCTGCAGTGGCGGCTGCTCCAGGGGCGGCTGCTGCAGGGGCGGCTGCTCCAGGGGCGGCTGCTGCAGTGGCGGCTGCTCCAGGGGCGGCTGCTACAGGGGCGGCTGCTCCAGGGGCGGCTGTTGCAGTGGCGGTTGCTCCAGGGGCGGCTGCTGTAGTGGCGGCTGCTCCAGGGGCGGCTGCTGCAGGGGCTGCTGCTCCAGGGGCGGCTGCTGCAGTGGCGGCTGCTCCAGGGGCGGCTGCTGCAGTGGCGGCTGCTCCAGGGGCGGCTGCTGCAGGGGCGGCTGCTCCAGGGGCGGCTGCTGCAGTGGCGGCTGCTCCAGGGGCGGCTGCTGCAGTGGCGGCTGCTTCAGGGGCGGCTGCTCCAGGGGCGGCTGCTGCAGTGGTGGCTGCTCCAGGGCGCGGGTTAGGGCAGGGCGCCGCGGTGGGCAGGGGCGACGAGGGAGCCGCAACGGGGCCGCGAAAGAGCCGCGACTGGGCCACGAGGGGCCTGGAGAGGGGCCGCGGAGGGGCCGCGACGAGCCGCGACGAGCCACGAGGGGCCGCGAGGGGCCGCGACAGGGCCGCGAGGGGCCGTGAGAGGGGCCGCGAGGGGCCGGGAGAGGGGCCGCGAGGGGCTGCGAACGGCCGTGGAGGGGCCGCGCGACGAGCCACGAGGGGCCGCTAGGGGCCGCGAGAGGGGCCGCGAGGGGCCGCGAACGGCCGCGGAGGGGCCGCGAGAGGGGCCGCGAGGGGGCACGAACGGCCGCGGAGGGGCCGCGAGGGGCCGTGAGAGGGGCCGCGAGGGGCCGTGAGAGGGGCTGCGAGGGAGCGGCTAAGGGGCCGCGAGGGGCCGTGATAGAGGGGCCGCGAGGGGCCGTGAGTGGGGCCGCGAGGGAGCGGCTAAGAGGCCGCGATGGGCCGTCTAAGGGGCCACTAAGGGCAGGGGACGCGGGGCGCGACTCGGGCAGGGGTGAAGCGCGCTCCGGGCAGGAGAAAAAAAAAATCGAATTTTCGGTGGGCCCTAGGAAACGTTCCCACTAGGGAACTTGCTCTATACCATGTGAAAGAACAAGGAATGAATGCACTAGGAAACAGGTGGGTACAAGTAGGAAAACCTAAAAGTGTTGTACCCCATATTGTCTACCCCACTACAGCCTACACAGACTATAGCATATAAGTTTGACATATTTGACGACCGTTTCGTCAAATTCTGTCAGAGGTGATCTCCGATCGATCCTAGGGAAAGAGTTACAGGCACGGCGGCCTGGGGGGTTATGGGCGCACTCACCCGCTATACAAACAAGCCGTTTTATCCCAGTGGTTATTGGCTGGAATTCTCACAAATTCACCATGCCGGCGTCAAGGACGCCTGCGAGGGCTTGGCCTTTCACATGAACAGATGGCAGCATAATAATAAGAGACAAGGTTTGAAGGTTAGGTGTTTGTACTGGTGCTTAAGGCAGGTTGAGTGTTCTGCTATTAGCGGATTGCTACCTCCTCCTGGATTGGCTGCTTGCTTGGGGGGGTTGGTGGTTCTGTTGGATAGGTGCTGGTGTTGTGAAAAACCAGAACAAAAATATCCAGTACCGATTGCTTTCTTGGTGTCGAGCACTGGATTTTCCAGTTCGGAGTGTTCCATGCGTTCACTGCTTAGGCTCTCCAGTTTCTCACGTCAATCTCGTCAGCAGAGCTTCGTTTCTCTGGACGTCTTTTGCACTCCAGCGAGCCAGGACTTGCGAGGTTATATTTTCTTGCGAGCATTTCTTGTTGTTGCGGATTAGGGTCTGGTTGGATATAACCGAGGAGTCCAGGTCGGTTAAGGTTTGTTCGCCGAAGTACGCTTACTATTCTGGAAATTGCGATTCCGAGGTTGAGGCGGACAGTTCGGCGGATATTCCGGCGGAGGTTCCGGCGAAGGTTCCGGCGTACTGAGGGTGCGGGGTATGGCAGGTAAAGAAGAGAGTGTCGGGAAACCTGCGGACGCAAACGAGGGCCGGCGACGGCGGGGCCGCGGGGAGAAGGAGAGGGAGCGAGTGAAGGAGAGAGAGAGGGAGAAAGGCCGGGATCGGGAGCGCGAGAGAGACAAGGACAGGGATCGGGAAAGGGACCGAGATCGAGATCGGGAGCGGGAGAGGGATCGGGATAGGGATAGGGATAGGGGTAGGGATCGCGATCGGGATTGGGAGAAGGAGAAGGAGAAGGAGAAGGAGAAGGAGAAGGAGAAGGAGAAGGAGAAGGAGAAGGAGAAGGAGAAGGAGAGAGAGGAGAAGGAGAACGAGAAGGAGCGAGGAGAAAGAGAGACCGAAAGCGATGGCGAGGGGAATGAGAAAGGGAAGGAGAGGGATCAAGAGCGCGAGCACGGGAGGGGACGACGTCGAGAGAAGGATAAGGGAGATAGCAGGGATGACAGGGGTGGTGACGATGGTGGGGATGGTGAGGATGGTGGGAATGGTAGGGATGACGTAAGGGAGGTAGATATGGATAGGGAGGCGGAAGGTAGCACGGAAGGGGAACAGGTTCCGGAGGGGAGGCGGGAGAACGCGAGGGAACGAGGGCGAGAGCGCGAGAGAGGAAGTGGAAGCGAGGAGAGGGGTAAGGAGGAGGGAGAGAAGGAGAGGGAGAGGGAGAGGGAGAGGGAGAGGGAGAGGGAGAGAGACGGGAAGAGGAGGGAGAGGAGAGGGAGAGAGAGGGCGAAGGCAGAGAGTGAGGATGAGGCGGAGAAGGAGAAGGAGAAAGGGTGGGCGAGAGAAGGACACGAGAAAGGCCAAGAGAGGGGCCAGGAGAGGGGGAGAAGGAGGAAAGAGGAGGGTGGAAGAGGGGAGAAGCAAGAAACAGAGGAGAGGCGAGGAGGAGGGGCAGGAGGAGGGGCAGGAGGAGGGGCAGGGAGCCCACCATACGACAAGGACGAGAAAGTGCTGGCGTTTCATGGGAAGCTGCTGTACGAGGCTAAGGTGCGTGATGGGGGCAAAAGGACCTGTGAGTCGACTCAAAATGACATATGAGACGGCTCAAACTGGCTTGTTTGTCAACTCAATTTACTTCCTTATGCCTACTCATCCCGGTGCCCGTTGATTTATATAAAAAAAAACATACTCTCCTCACTCTCCCCCCCCGTTCCCTCCCCCCTCCCATCCGTCCCCCGCCTCCCTCCTGCCTCCCTCCACCCCTTCCCTCTCCCTTCCCTTCCCATTCGTCCCGCCCATGCGTGGCACGGTTGGTGGCACGGTTGGTGGCACGGTTGGCACCACAGCAGGTGTTGAAGCTGGAAAAGGACGAAAACGGCGACTGGTCTTTCGTGCAACCGCCACCCCTCTCTTTCTTTTCCCCCCTCTCCCTTTTTCCCGGCCGTGCCTCTGTGGGTTGCTGGTGGCACCACGGCAGGTGTTGAAGCTGGAAAAGGACGAAAACGGCGACTGGTCTTTCGTGCAACCGCCACCCCTCTCTTTCTTTTCCCCCCTCTCCCTTTTTCCCGGCCGTGCCTCTGTGGGTTGCTGGTGGCACCACGGCAGGTGTTGAAGCTGGAAAAGGACGAAAACGGCGACTGGTCTTTCGTGCAACCGCCACCCCTCTCTTTCTTTTCCCCCCTCTCCCTTTTTCCCGGCCGTGCCTCTGTGGGTTGCTGGTGGCACCACGGCAGGTGTTGAAGCTGGAAAAGGACGAAAACGGCGACTGGTCTTTCTTTATCCACTACACTGTATGATGCCCCCCTTCCCTTTCAAACTTTCCTCTTGCATTATATCGGCCATAGGTACACATACATGCAACTTTCCCTCTCCCTTTCTGTCATTCTCTCTCGTTATACATGGTCTGCATGCTTGCAACGCAACACCGTGTTTGATTGAAACTCCTACTTCCCTCACTTCACCCACACCATCTCTCATCCCGCCCCTTGATTCTTCAACGCTCTCCCTCCCACTCTTTCCCCCCAGCCCACCCACCCACCCACCCATCTATCCATCCCCCCCCCCCTCCCTGCCGGTGCCTCTCCCCTGTGCCTCACATGTATTCTCCTTGCCATTCTCCACCCGCCGTCTGGCCCCTGCTGTCGCGCTGCTGCGCATGCGTGTGTGTTACACCCTGGTCTCCTGCGACTCATCTGCCCTGCTGCGACTGCTACACTGCTCCTACTGTTCTGATTGCAACAGGGGTGGAAGAAAAGGTGACATTTCACCACTGCTCCCTCGCACCCAGCTTTCACTCCCTTCTTTTCTCGCTCACTCTCCTCCCCTCTTCTCTCACTCTGTACCCTCCCTCAACTTTCCTACCTCCCTCAACTTTCCTACCTCCCTCAACTTTCCTACCTCCCTCAACTTTCCTACCTCCCTCAACTTTCCTACCTCCCTCAACTTTCCTACCTCCCTCAACTTTCCTACCTCCCTCAACTTTCCTACCTCCCTCAACTTTCCTACCTCCCTCAACTTTCCTACCTCCCTCAACTTTCCTACCTCCCTCAACTTTCCTACCTCCCTCAACTTTCCTACCTCCCTCAACTTTCCTACCTCCCTCAACTTTCCTACCTCCCTCAACTTTCCTACCTCCCTCAACTTTCCTACCTCCCTCAACTTTCCTACCTCCCTCAACTTTCCTACCTCCCTCAACTTTCCTACCTCCCTCAACTTCCTCACCTCCCTCAACTTCCTCACCTCCCTCAACTTCCTCACCTCCCTCAACTTCCTCACCTCCCTCAACTGTCCTACCTCCCTCAACTTTCCTACCTCCCTCAACTTTCCTACCTCCCTCAACTTTCCTACCTCCCTCAACTTTCCTACCTCCCTCAACTTTCCTACCTCCCTCAACTTTCCTACCTCCCTCAACTTTCCTACCTCCCTCAACTTCCTCACCTCCCTCAACTTCCTCACCTCCCTCAACTTCCTCACCTCCCTCAACTTCCTCACCTCCCTCAACTGTCCTACCTCCCTCAACTTTCCTACCTCCCTCAACTTTCCTACCTCCCTCAACTTTCCTACCTCCCTCAACTTTCCTACCTCCCTCAACTTTCCTACCTCCCTCAACTTTCCTACCTCCCTCAACTTTCCTACCTCCCTCAACTTTCCTACCTCCCTCAACTTCCTCACCTCCCTCAACTTCCTCACCTCCCTCAACTTCCTCACCTCCCTCAACTTCCTCACCTCCCTCAACTGTCCTACCTCCCTCAACTTTCCTACCTCCCTCAACTTTCCTACCTCCCTCAACTTTCCTACCTCCCTCAACTTCCTCACCTCCCTCAACTTCCTCGCCTCCCTCAACTTCCTCACCTCCCTCAACTGTCCTACCTCCCTCAACTTTCCTACCTCCCTCAACTTTCCTACCTCCCTCAACTTTCCTACCTCCCTCAACTTTCCTACCTCCCTCAACTTTCCTACCTCCCTCAACTTTCCTACCTCCCTCAACTTCCTCACCTCCCTCAACTTCCTCACCTCCCTCAACTTCCTCACCTCCCTCAACTTCCTCACCTCCCTCAACTGTCCTACCTCCCTCAACTTTCCTACCTCCCTCAACTTTCCTACCTCCCTCAACTTTCCTACCTCCCTCAACTTTCCTACCTCCCTCAACTTCCTCACCTCCCTCAACTTCCTCACCTCCCTCAACTTCCTCACCTCCCTCGACTTCCTCACCTCCCTCAACTGTCCTACCTCCCTCAACTTTCCTACCTCCCTCAACTTTCCTACCTCCCTCAACTTTCCTACCTCCCTCAACTTTCCTACCTCCCTCAACTTTCCTACCTCCCTCAACTTTCCTACCTCCCTCAACTTTCCTACCTCCCTCAACTTTCCTACCTCCCTCAACTTTCCTACCTCCCTCAACTTCCTCACCTCCCTCAACTTCCTCACCTCCCTCAACTTCCTCACCTCCCTCAACTTCCTCACCTCCCTCAACTTCCTCACCTCCCTCAACTTCCTCACCTCCCTCAACTTCCTCACCTCCCTCGACTTCCTCACCTCCCTCAACTGTCCTACCTCCCTCAACTTTCCTACCTCCCTCAACTTTCCTACCTCCCTCAACTTTCCTACCTCCCTCAACTTTCCTACCTCCCTCAACTTTCCTACCTCCCTCAACTTTCCTACCTCCCTCAACTTTCCTACCTCCCTCAACTTTCCTACCTCCCTCAACTTTCCTACCTCCCTCAACTTTCCTACCTCCCTCAACTTCCTCACCTCCCTCAACTTCCCCCCCTGCGCCATGCGCCGCTGTGCACTGAATCTGTGCCCTCGGTGCCGATCACTTGTATTGAATGAATAGTCAACTCTGCCTATCCAAAGCCCGGCCGGCCTAACTGCCAGGAAGCATTCCTTCGCCTGTTATACTGTACTGAACGGGCAACAACTCACTTGCTAACGCGCTGACTTTTGAGTCGACTCAAAAGTCAACCGGCCTATCTGCCAGGAAGCATTCCTTCGCCTATTATGCTGTACTGAATGGGCATCAACTCTCTTGCTAACGCGTTTTCTCCCTTGTTGTACTGAATGGCTTCATGATGAACTTCTGATGAACGGTTTTGCTGAATAGCATCAACCCCTGGCAAGAACGGTTTTTTTCATCTCCCTTGCTTCATGCTGCCCTCCCCTGCTCTCTACCCCACTGTTTTTAGTATTCGTTGCCCCTTCCCGCTCCGTTTTCCCTCCTCTCTTACTTGTGTGCATGTGTGTGTTTGTGTGTGCGTGTGGTGCTCTGCATGTGTGCTGTGCGTGCGTGCGTTCGCGTGCGTGGTTACATGCATGCGTCTCCGCTTGCACATGGGTGTGTGTGTGTGCACATGGTCATGTGTGTGCTGCGCGTGGGTGCATGCTCATGTGTGTGCTCTCTCTCTCTCTCTCTCTCTCTCTCTCTCTCTCTCTCTCTCTCTCTCTCTCTCTCGCTCTCTCTCTCTCTGTTGTTGTGCACGTTTGTGTGTCTGGTTCGGGCGGCAGTTTTGACGAATGGGTGGGAACGTTGCGCTTGCTCAGGGGCACTGAGGAGAATCAGCGCCGCAAGCAGCAGATTTCCAAGTCAACTCAAAAGCCAATTCTGTGTGTGCTGTGCACGTGTGTTGACTGTGGCAGTTGGGACGAGTGGGTGGGCACGGTGCGGTTGCTCAAGGACACGGAGGAGAATCAGCGGCGCAAGCAGCAGCTGAAGCAGGAGGCTCAGGGGGGCGGCCGGAAGGACAAGGCGCCTGCTCGTGGCAAGGTCACCTCGCCAGGTGGGTGCTGAGGAGGGAGGGAGGGAGGGAGGGCGAGGGAGGGAGGACGAGGTATGGAGGACGAGGGAGGGAGGAAGGAGTAAGGGGAGGGGAGTGGAGGGGAGGAGATTGGTTGGGGAGGGAGGAGAGGGGAGGGGTGGGGAGGGGAAGGGAGAGGAGGGGAATAATCAGGTGGGAAGAGGAGACAAGGGAATAAGGAAATCCATGTCTCTAGTATGTCTCTAGTATGTCTCTAGTATGTCTTTTGCATGTCTCTTGCATGTCTCTTGCATGTTTTTTCCTTTGTGCACGGACCCTTGTGACAAATTCTTTGATCCCGGAAATCGCTTTTATCTGACTCAACTCAGCAACTTGAAAGCGCTGCCTGGTTCCTTCCATCTCTCAGTGTATCACTCCATACGACCCGCACCGCGCCGTGCCTGCTCCCGTGATAAACAAAGTGTTTTGAGACGTCTTCAAACATCTCTCCATTCGACCCACACCCACCCTCTACCCATCTGCCCCATCTGCCCCATCTGCCCCATCTGCCCCATCTGCCCCATCTGCCCCATCTGCCCATCTGCCCCATCTGCCCCATCTGCCCCATCTGCCCCATCTGCCCATCTGCCCCATCTGCCCCATCTGCCCCATCTGCCCCATCTGCCCCATCTGCCCATCTGCCCCATCTGCCCCATCTGCCCCATCTGCCCATCTGCTCCATCTGCCCCATCTGCCCCATGTGCCCCATGTGCCCCATGTGCCCCATGTGCCCCATATTCCCCAGATGTGCACGGGTCAGGAGGCAAGGGACGCAAGAGAAAGGCACCAGATGTACGTTTCTCTTTCTCCCTGGCGCCTCTTCTCTCCTCTCCTCCTCTCTCCTCTTTCACCTCCTCCTCCCTCCCTTCGTTCCCTCCCCTAGTTCCGCCTCACTCTCCTGCGGCTATAATCACCGGCCCACTTTTCTTGGGAATGGGAACCGTCTTTCTAGCTTATCACATTGTAGGGTACAAAGAACCGGCTCATCACATTGTAGTCAAAGAACCCTACCTACCTACCTTATCCTTGTGCCCGTTTTTGAGAATTCTCATTCAAAGGACTAGCTTGTAGTCAAAGAACCCTACCTACCTACCTTATCGTTGTGCCCGTTCTCTTCTGCTGACTTCCATCTCCCCCTTTTCTCCCCTTTTTTTGGTCCCTTTTTCTCCCCTCCTTCCCCCTTCTCTCTCCCCCCTTTCTCCCCCCTTTCTTCCCCTCTTCGCCCACTTTTCTCCCCCGTTCCTCCCCCCTTCTGGCCCCCACATCCAGACCACCCCTGGTTCAGCTGGTGCCAAAGCTGCTGGCTCTTCTGCTGCTGCTGCCGCTGCTGCTATTGCTGCTGCCGCTACAAGCCCTCCTGCTGCTTCTGGTCGGGGTGCTGGTGCTGGGGGCGCTGGTAGAGGGAGGAGAAGAGGAGCAGGGCGAGCAGGAGGGGAAGAGGAGGCGGAAGGGAGGAAAGGAGGTGAGGAGGAGGACGAGGATGAGGAGGAGGAGGAGGAGGAGGAGGAGGAGGAGGAGGAGGAGGAGGAGGAGGAGGAGGAGGAGGAGGCGGAGGGAGAGAGTGCGGGGCAGAGCGGTAGAAGCAGTGAGGAGGAAGAAGAGGAAGAGGAGGAGGAAGAGGAGGTGGAGGAGGGGCGTGGGGGGGAAAGAGGGCGGGGGCGGGGAGGGGGGAACCGGGGGGAAAGGGGAAGCGAGCGGGGGAGGGGAGGGAGAGGGGGGACTGCAGGAGCCGGTTCTGGGGGCAGGAGTGGTGGTGCTGGGGGGAATAGCGGAGGCGGGGGAGGAGGGGGAGAGGGAGGAGGCAGAGGCGGGGGGGGAGGGGGAGGAGTGGGGGGAAGTGGTGGGGCAGAGAAGGGCGGGGTGTGCGATGTGGATCTGGCATTGTTCATCCCGAATGCGCTCAAGAGGCAGCTATTAGAAGACGAGGATCTGGTGGTGCGCCAGAGGAAGGTGAGTCAGTCATAACTGAAATGCTACTGAAGACGACTTGAAACTCAGCTGTTTGTTCATTTCCAATGTGCTCGAGAGGCAGCTACTAGAGGACGAGGACCTGGTGGTGCGCCAGAGGAAGGTCAGTCTAGGATGCTCCTCTTACTGCCCACTCTCTTGCGCACTTCTTGCCTGTCTGTCTGTCTCCGCGCTCTTCTTGCCTGTTTGTAGTGTTGCCCTAGACATATTTTTTTCCTCTGTGTGTGTGTGTCAGGCCAAATTTTATCAGTGTAAATCACCCTGATACCCTGATTATCAGGGTGGTTTTTGGTAGTCACACTGATGCCTCAGGGTAATTTTTTTTGGAGCTGTGATTTTCCTGATCAGCCAGGGTATACGTTTAAGGCACACTGATGCACCAGGGTAACCGTTCTTCTTAGCGAGTTTTACCCTGAAGCTAGTACCGTACCACACCCCCCCCCCCCCCCCCCCCCCCCGGACCTCCCCCCACTTTCCCGTAACTCGGGATTCCCATTGGCCAACTGTCAAAACCTCAATTTGCGTACATGTATTGGCACGAAGTGGGCCACTATTGGCCAGAAATACAGTTTCGCTCTACACAACGCCAAGGACTCAACTCGGACTAAACTCATTGTAACAATAACTGAGCAGGGTTTTTACAAGTCTTACACTGATGCCTCAGGGTAAAATTTTCAAACCTAGCCTGAACCCTGATGCAAAAGAAATTTCCTACCGGGTCACACTGATAATCAGGTTTTTGCTTAGGTGCAGCACTGATCATAAGGGTTGCTCAAAACCAGAAATTAGCCCTGGTGTGTGTGCGTGTTTTTTTTTTTTTTTTTTTTTTTTTTTTGGCTTTTGGCTTTTGGCTTTTGGTCTGTGCTTCTTCTAGTAAATCATCAGCAGCTGCTGACTCTAGTCCCCCACTTTAACCCACCCACATGCCCATTCCCTCCCACCTCATTCCTCCCCTTTCCTCACCGCCATACCCCCTCATCCCATGCCCCACAGCTCATACCACTGCCCTGCAGGCCCTCCGCAGCAGATCTCCTTGCAAACTTCTATCACTCGATTCAAACTTTTGCCCTTTCCTCACCGCCTCTCCTCCTCATCCCTCCCCTCACAGCTCGTGCCACTGCCCTGCAGGCCCTCTGTGGCGGAGCTCCTAGCGGACTTCATCAGCTCCAAGCGCAGCAAGCGGTCAGTGCCACTTCCCGCCCCCCTCCGCTTCCTGTCTCCGCCTCCTTCTGAGTCAACCCAAATGTCGGGAACCAACCTCTGTGGCGGAGCTCCTAGCGGATTTCATCAGCTCCAAGCGCAGCAAGCGGTCAGTCAGTCAGTCAGTCAGTCCCTCCAGATGCTTCCCGCCCCGCGCCTCTTCCTGTCTCCCCTCCTTCTGAGTCAACGGAAATGTCTCGAACCAACCTTAGTGGCTTCTGAGAATTCTCAAGAGCTCCTGGCAGATTTTACCTCTGCCTTCCCCCTCCACCCCCGCCCGCCCTCCCTCCCTTCCTCCCCGTCTCCCCCTCCTTGTGACTCTCTACGTATATGTTTGGTCCTCTGTGTGCTGTTGCAAACCCTATCAGCTCCAAGCCAATTTACCAGTTCCAAGCAAATTTTCCATCTCCAAGCAAATTTACCAGCTCCAAGCACAAGGAACAGTCACTTTTGCCACTGCTGTTGCTCCTCTCCTCTTCCTTCTCTCCAGTTTCAGTATCCTCCTTTCTCCCTTTCCTGGCGTTCCCCACCTCACAATCACTTCTCCTTTCAGGGCTTCATGCCCTCATCTCCCGTACCTCCCCTTTCTCCTGTTTCGAGTCAACTCATGTTGTGAGTCAACTCCAATCACTTCTCCTTTCACGGCTTGGTTCCCTCATCTCCCATACCCACCCCTTCTCCTTCGCCCCTACGCCCCCCCCCCTCCCCCCCCCGTTTCCCCCTCCACTCCTTCCCCACTTCCCCCAACCCCCCCCAGGCGCGGCAAGGGCATGGCAGAGGTGGTGAACGGCTTCCAATGCTACTTTGACCGCTCGCTGCTGCTTGTGCTGCCATCATCACCTGTCCCGTTGACACCAACTCCCCTGCTTTCCTTCCAATCCCTCCCCTCCGCTCTCCCCCGTTCCCTCCCCCGGTCCCCCCCCCCGATGCCCTCCCCCACTCTCCCCCCAGGCGTGGCAAGGGCATGGCGGAGGTGGTGAACGGCATCCGGTGCTACTTTGACCGCTCGCTGCCGCTCATGCTGCTGTACAAGGAGGAGCGCGAGCAGTTCCAATGCGTCTTTGCCCGCCTCACTGCCGCCGCTGCCTCCGCTTCTGGTGCTGCTGCAGCCGCAGGAGGAGGGGGAGCGGGAGGGGGTGGGGGGAGTGGAGGAGGAGAGGGGACGGCGGGAGGGGGAGGTGGAGACGGGGCGAGAGGAGGAGGAGGAGGAGGGGGTGGGGGAGTGTCGGATGCGGCAGCGCCGTCGACTGTACGGCCGTCGGATATATACGGGGCGGAGCACCTTCTCAGGCTCTTCAGTAAGGCTTGGCTTGCTTCTCAGGCTCTTCATGGAGGGGGGTGAACGGGGACCAGGGAGGGCGGGAATGTGTGTCGTGTCTCTGTATGTTTGCGCGTTTCTGTTTTGTCAGCGCCTTTTCTGGTGGATTGAGCAGTAAGTACCTGTTTTGAGGCGACTCAAAAGCTGCTTGTCTGGTCGTCTGATCAGAGAGTAAAGCACACCGTCTCGTATTGTTGGTGTGTGGAATAGTACCAGATCCTTTTGAGTCGACTCAAAAGTCACTGTCTCGTATCGTGTGTAGTTGGAGTAATGCCAGATCCTACCCATTGTGCACACTGTCTTGTCACTTGGAATCTCGTCAGCACGCCCCCTCTCAAACCAATCAACCCCTCCATCTACTCCTGTGTTTGCTGGTCCCATCATCACCATCACCATCACCATCACCACCACCATCACCATCACCATCACCATCACCATCACCATCACCATCACCATCACCATCACCACCACCATCACCATCACCATCACCATCACCATCACCATCACCACCACCACCACCATCACCACCACCACCACCACCACCACCACCACCACCACCACCATCACCATCACCATCACCATCACCATCACCATCACCATCACCACCACCATCACCATCACCATCACCACCACCATCACCATCACCATCACCATCACCATCACCATCACCACCACCATCACCATCACCGTCACCACCACCATCACCACCACCATCACCACCACCATCACCATCACCGTCACCACCACCATCACCACCACCATCACCATCACCGCCACCAGCCAAGCTGCCGGCACTAAGATGGGTCCGTACGTCCCTGGACCTACGTAAACGTAATGTTACGCGTAACATTACGTTTACGTTTACGTTCGCGTAAATACGCGTAACTTAGGTCCGGGCAGGAAAAAAAATCCGGCCAAAAAAAAAAGCGTTCTGTAAATTGGCCCTGGAGAAGAGAGCACCATTGCGGCACAACCGCTCAGGGCAGCACATACGGCTGCGTACGAAATGCCATATTTAGGATTGACGGTTCTTTCATAACCGTTATGCTATATTTAGTGACTATCTACCTCGCTATTTAAATTCGCAGCACCAACTTTTAGATCTTCACTTAGGTCGTACTTAAGAACTCTAGGATCTAGGTTAGAGGATCTAGAACGGAGATCTACGTAGAAGATGTGAGAGGATTAGGTCGTGGATCTATAGCTCTAGCATCGAGCGTAACCTTCAGAGCCCCGTGTAAGTCACGGGGCTGGAACATAAGGACAGGTGGGGAGGTCGAAGTGATGACACTGGGGGGAGGGGGGGGGGGGGGACGTTGACTCGCGATTCTGAAATTGGAGGGAAAGCCCGAAACGATTTTGTGCACCTAGCAAAAGTAACGCGTCACAAAGTGACGCGCCGATACAAACAATGGTCGGCAACAAAATTTATGGCTGGAGATTGTAATTTCGTAGCTTGAACCACAACATTATCATAGATAATGTTAATGTCAACTTCGAACCCCAGGGAAATTTTTTTGACCCGGGCAGCTGAAAATAAACTAATCTGCCCGGAAACGTAAACTCATTCTGGACCCTTGTACGTAACGTAAAACGTACGTAAACGTGAGCCTAATATCCAACTTAGTGCCGGCAATGCTGGCAACGGTGTTCTCCGAGCAGGAGGCCCTGCACCAGCTCTGCACCCTTGAACACCCTCTAAACCAACCAACCAATCCCTCCATCTGTCCCTGTTCTTTGTTGTGTCACCACCACCGCCACAGCCAAGCTGCCGGCAATGCTGGCCACGGTCTATTTTGAGCAGGAGGCCCTACACCAGCTCTTCCAGAACTTCAACATCATCCTCAAGTGAGTGCACTTTCACTACCCGCGTGCATTGAGGAGATTTTTTAGGCGCCTCAAAAATCACCTCTTTAATTTGAGCAGGAGGTTTGCACCAGCTGTTCCAGAACTTCAACATCATTTTCAAGTCAGTGCGCTTTCACTAACCTTGCTGTTGGTTGTTCTTATGCCTGTTTCGCGAAGCACTTGTTAATTATGTTCGCAGCTAGTTTTTTCACCTCTCCCTTTCGTTGCCCGAGTGTTCTGATATCTGCCAGGTTCCCTGTACCCACGTTTGTGGCGTTAGCGTTATACAGTGTGCGGGCCTCTGTTGTCGTGTAACACATCTTTCCCTTTCTCGACCTGGCAGGTACCTCCAAAGGAACAGGGCCACCATATTTGCATCTTCATACGTGGATGCAGCTACAGCACTGCAGCCACCCTCAGGAACTCCCCAGTGACATTCTTGAACAGGAGGAGTCACTTGTTTTGTCCCTCAACATTTCTGTTTCACTGTAGCTTCCTTAGGTTGCGTGGCACTGCCACTGTAGCATTTGTTGGTGATCAAACGAGTGTACAATAATCCAGTAGCCTCCAAAAAATCACATATGGTACTTAGGAGAACGTTCGGTGTGCCGTACAGACCTCAAATTTGGCCCTGCCTTTCCAAGCACGACGAAACCCTGTCCGTCAAGGATGCCATGTGTGATTACTATGACTACCTTAACTTGAAATCATGCGGTGCTACAAACGAATGCAAAGGAGCTCCTTTGCTAAAATCGTTATTTCCCACGCAATATCTTTTACAGCCTTACAACTGCAAACGGTCCAACTATGAACGGGTTTTTACAGCCACATGTCCCCCCAGCGCGTAACCTTCAAATTGATTTACGCGAGATGCGGCAAGTGGCAGACTGGTAAATACTCAGGTGCTTTTTGAGGTACCAAATATTCTGTCACAGAGTAATGCAGTAGGATACTACACTCTTCAAAACGATTCAATTAACGTCTACAGCGGTTGGAGAGAGTTTAGTGAGTAATCAGGTCGTCAAGATGGGAACACCTGAGTAAAATACGGCTGAGTCAAATGCGCGGTCTGTGCCTAGCTGGAATTTGGACAATCAAGAAGAGAAGCAGCAGCGAGCAGCACTCTGCAAAGTTGCCAGGCTAGCAATCGAGCAATGTCGAGCCGCGCTCCAACTACTCCTGGCACGAGTCACGCACACACACACGGCAACTTGTCGCATGGGCTCCTCGTTCCCAACACGAAGATGAATTGTATGGAGTATATAACTCTCCTCGCAATAGAGCACGAAATGTCTTCCTCAGCAACAAATCCCATTCGTTGCATTCCGTCCGAGCATCCATACACCTTTCTGAAAAGACAACCTGGCTCCACCTGCACATGTGCGTGTGCATACCAGTAGTACCTGACCTGCACCTGCACATACCACCTGCACATACCAGTACATCTCAAAAAAGTGGCTCTTAAAAATGGCTATTTACAGCTATAATCGCCATGCATATGGCGGGTTTATGGCCAGGAATTGCCGGGCTGTACACAAGCTGCTTCGTAGACGTTTGGGGCCCGTGAATTGCCCGGCTGTATATTGACTGAAACAGCCATTCATGGCCCGTTCTACATTGTCGTACATAGCCTTGTACGCTCGTGTATTTGAGGACTACGTACTGGCATGTATTGTCTGCCTGTAAATGTAAGTGAAGGGTAGAAAGATTAATGGCCCTTAATTTGAGGACTACAAATATAAATGTAACGGGAGCCTATAAATTCACATAAGCAGTACTGATTACCGTATTTGACGATATCAACGTTTTGGATATTGTTTTGCACCTGCTGCTGTTTAGTGCTAGTCAAGAGTATCATTCTGAAAATGATGCACCATTTCATTAATAGAGCACATACAAATGTCACATACATACACCATAACATCCATATACTGCCCTACGCATGATACACAACTACTAGGGCTAGTAACGTAACAGCTCCGATGCCATGGAAAGATTCACCTGCACATAGAAACAAAGCCACGGTTATAACTGCTTGTAGCCTAAAAAGGCACTTCCAAGGCGTACTGAAAATGCCGTGAACACATCCAATAAGCATAATTGCGCCAGATGCATACAATATCTGCGAACGTCACAAACAGAGCACTTCTGCCACACGAATCGCCAGCAAACACAACACACGGGCGTGTTGTTAGGCGTGAGGTTAGGTCAACTAGAAATACGGAGTAGGCAAACACAACACACGGGTTCACACAACAGCCAGTTGTTAGACCTGCGACTGGCAATGAAGTGAACAAACTGCTAGCAGAGTGTGCGCTGAACTTCGACAACGACGTCTTCAGACGTCGGATGCCTAGGATAACTAGGGACATAGCTTGCGAAATGAGCTCTGTAATCGGGTGGCATTAGACGAGGGAGACACCGGATGAAATAACCAGAGGAAAATTATTTGTGAGAATGAGATGGAAGGGTGAGGTGAGGCGGGTTCCTTGTACAAGGGTAGGATGAGGTGAATGGGATGGGGCGAAGGTGAGATAGGAAGGGATCGAGTCGAGCGCAATGCAAAATGAATGTGGCGCTGGTTGGGTTGGGAACTTCGGATTGGTTGAGCTGCTCACCAGCCGCACTTGTCCACACCTGCTCTAAAATCACGGCCGATCGCGCTGATCAGCAGCGACTCGAGATCTGTAATCAGGCTGTGTCTGGCACAGGCTTGGTTGAGATCGAGCAGCTGCTGCTCTGTACCAATCGCGCTGATGTGCACCAGCGACTTGGGTGTCTGTGGTGAACTGTACCTAGCGCGCGCGATGGTGTGCGGTGGCTATGTCTGCTGTGCTGGACGCGACGTGCCATTTCGATAAAAGAAAGCGAATCGTACAGCCCCACATCATCATCTGAAACACATTTCATTGGTCAGACACAAAATCTGAGATATGCGAGTGCACGCGACCCTCCACGCCATTCGCACGAAGATGCATCGTCTTGACCAGATGCAGAATAGCGTAACAAACCCAGGCAGCACGAAATAACAATTCAGTCAGCACATTTTTGTAGTCTATATTCGTTATATTCATAGTAAAATGAAAGGTTCATGCTACCAAAAAAAAAACCACAAACAAACAATCAAACAAGAAAATCAAATTAAAAAATCAATGGGTAATCAAACCAAATGTTAC